TGATGTACTACGCCGGCGCCATGGAGACCTTCGAGGTCCACTGGTTCCTTCGAGACCTTCTCCTCCTTCCTTCCTGCAACGCCTTCCCTTTGCACACCTCATCCCTTATTCCACCTCCTCCTCCTCATCTTTCCTCGCTCTCTCCTTCTCCTTCCTCCTCCTCTTCCTCCTACTCCTCCTCTTTGTCCTCCTGTTCGGTTGCACGGTTGCAAACCACTCGATAGAAGGTAAAGGACAAAGCGCCAGAAGCCGATGAAGCCGCTGAACGCACACCCTTGGATTAGCAACACGGGGACGAAACCATCTGACAATGAATCACGAGCTGCTGCCAAAACGCCGAAATTAATATATTCTGTGGTGTCAAGAGTCTACATCCAATAACGGTATACCAGGAAGCGGTATACAGCATTTTGCAACGCAATGCGCAACCCACGTTGCAATAACAACAAGAGGCTTGACATGCAAAGAGAATCCGCGTAAGCCAATCTTCCCTGCCTGCTGGGGGTTGGCCCGGAGCGGCTCCATCCCTTGGTCCACATGTTGAAAGGATTGAGGGCCAGTCTGTCCAACTGCTCAACTTCGAATGGCTGTCCCAGGCAGTCTGAACCTGGCAGCCATCTGCGGCGGAAGATGGCTGAGCAGAGCTGGGTACCTGAGTGGATCTGCAGGTGCACAGCTTCCCACGGCAGGCTCGGTGGCGGAGCACTTCGAGCTCCACTTAGCTGCCCGCGCCAATCACTAACTCTGCATCCTCCGGAGCCTTCCAGCTGCACCTGAGTGCGCTCGCCGCCGCCGCCGCTGGAGGCGATTGCGTTCCGCCTGCCCTGCACGGCCGATGGCCTCGGTTGGCACGTCGGAGTCGTGCGCAGCGAGGTTGCGCCGCGACACGGCTCGTGCGTGGACAGATTGGTCGGCCAAGCCCGCAGCAACCACAGGCTCCATGGTCATGAGCCTGACCTCGAGCTCGCCGCCTCCCGCTGTCACCTGCACCCCCGCGAGCGTCGCCCGAGCGGATTCCAGCTCCTTCAACGCGCTGTCCAGCTCCTGACGCACGGCTCGATCTGATGCCGCCGCCGCCCGCTGCGCGGCGCGGCGCCCCGCAGGAGAGCACCAGGGGCTTCGCGAGGCCTCCTCCTGCAGCCTGCAGAGCCATCCCCTGCATCATCAGACCGACCAGCAGCTGCTCATGCTCTGTTTCTTCACCCTCTTCGTCCCCTCTTCCCCTTCCTGCTCATCCTTCCTCACCCCCTCATGCTTTTTCCTCGTCGTCGTCGTCCTTCCGGACATAGGAGGAGGTCCTCTCTTCAGGTCCATGGGCTGGTTGGTGAGGCGGTCCGGCTGTACGAGCAGACCGACAGACTGGAGGTTGTCATCAAGACTTCGTGGTGGCGAGGGGCATCTGGGCAAGTATAGGAGAGATGCGGGGAATAAGGAGGAGTTGGAGGAGGAGGCGGAGGAAGAGGAGGAGGAGGAGGAAGAGGAGGAGGAGGAGGAGGAGGAGGAGTGAGGATGCAGAGGGAAAGGAGTAGGAGGAGGGAGGAGCAGCCGGGAGGAGGTAGGACAGACGCAGGTGACGGAGGATGGGGTGTTATTTTCGCGGTAGATAACGGAATGTGATGATGATGATGATGAGGCTCGAGGCTTTGGATTAGGACGGGGATGAGGATAGATAATAATCTGACGACTACGGAGGCGATGATTATGACAGGTATGATGATGATCATGATGATGATGATGATGATGATGATGATGATGATGATGATGATGATGAAAATGACGCTTACGATCACGCTAACGATGATGCTGATGATGCTGATAAGGATGCTGTTGGTCATGATGCTGATGGTAAACATGATGATGATGATATTGGTGATGATGGCAACAATGATGATGACGATGATGCTGATGACGTCTCGCAGGATGATTCTGATGATGAAGACGACGATGATGATAGTGATGCTGCTGACTGATGGTGATGATGCTGATGAGGTTGATGATAATGAGGATGACGATGATGATGCTGCTGCTGACGATACTGGTGATGATGGTGATGATGATGATGATGATGATGATGATGATGATGATGATGCTTGTGGTGATGATGCTAATGATGATGATCCTGATGTTGCTGCTGATGCTGATGCTGATGCTGATGATGGTTGTGATACTGATGATGATGATGATGCTGATGATGATGATGATGATGATGATGATGCTGACGATGATGAGGGTGGTGACCATGATTGTTGTGATGATGGCGGCCATGATGAAGATTATGATGATGCTGATGATGGTGCTGCTGATGTTGCTAATGATACTGATGATTGAGATTGGGATGACGATGCTTCTGATGCTGATGATGATTATTGTGCTGAAGATGATGTCTATGATGATGATTCTGAAGCTGCTGATGATGCGTATGCTGATGATGATGATGCTGCTACTGATGATGCTGTTGATGAGGATGATGCTGACCAGGATGATGCTGCTGCTGATGATGATACGGGTGATGCGCATGTTGCTGGTGATTGGGGGGTAATGGTGGTGGAGGCGTTGGTGACGATGCTTGTTGTGATGATGGCGGCGATGGTGAAGATGAAGATGAAGACTCTGATGATGATGCTGCTGATGATGATGCTGATGATGCTTATGATGATGATACTGATAATAATGATGATAACGATGATGCTGATGATGATGATGACGATGGGGATGATGATGATGCTGATGGTGGTAATATTGTAGTTTTGTTTGCTGATGCCGATGCTTTTGTTGCTGTTGATGCAGTTTTGTTGGATGGTTGTGGTGCTGATGCTCTTGATGATGCTTATGCTGCTGATGACGATGATGCTCAGGATGGTGGTGTTGTTGATGATGATGGTGATGCTGATTATGCTGACGTTGCTGCTGCTGCTAATGATGCTGATGATGATGATGATGATGATGATAATGATGATTAGTATGATGATGATTATGATGCTGATGATGATGACGATGGGTATGATGCTACTGCTGCTGATACTGATGATGCTGATGCTGCTGGTGATGATGCTGATGATGATTCTGCTGATGCTGATGCTGATGCTGCTGCTTCTGCTGTTAATAATGCTGATGATGCTGTTAATGCTTGTGATGCTTCTGCTGATGATGATGAGGATGATGATGATGATGACAATGATGATGATGATGATGATGATGATGATGATGATGATGCTGATGATGCTGACGATGATGATGAGACGGAGGTGCGACCCCCTTCTGATGCTTCGTCCCCCCACACATCGGTTTCTTCTGCCTCCTCCCAGCTAAGTCCACAAGCATGATGCGGATAAGGCACATGACCAAGATCGATGACCGGTCACAGGATGACTTGATGACATGTGTGCGAATGGATGCACCTGTTCCTTCCCCTCTCCCCCCGTCATCATGCTTTCTTCCCCCTCACTATAGCGTGCGTCCCTCCTGCCTTCTTCATCCCCCCTCCTCCCTCCCCTCTCGTCCTTTTTTCCCCCCATCCCTCGCGGATGAGGGTTGAGATGAGGATGATGCCGATGGTATGATGCTGTCGGTGTTGATGATGGTGTTGAGGAGATCGATGCGAGAGGAAGGGTACGAGGAAGGGGTGTAAGGAAGTAGGAGCAGTAGGGATATGGATCATGTTGACGATGCTTATGCAGACATAGGTGTTTCAGCGGCGACGACAAAGACTTCGTCGACGACGTCATCGACGAGGAGGAGGAGGAGGAGGAGGAGGAGGAGCAGGATGATGATGAGGAGGAGAAACATCAGGACTAGGAGGAAGAGGAGGAGCGGGCTCTCCCGTCCCTGTTGCCCTCCCCCCCAGGTGGGAGTGTTTCGACCTGGGCTCACACGGCCGCGTCCGCGCGCGCTTGGTCCAGCTTTTCCGCAGCTTCCAGCTGCTCCAGGACGGCGCGCGCGACGGAGGAAGAGGGAGAGGGGTGGAGGGGGAGAGAGAGATTGCAAGCAGTAGGTCGAGCAGGATGAAGAGGAGGAGTAGGAGGCGGAGCATGAGAAACATGAGGATGGAGGACAGTGGTGAGACAGGAGGAGGTGTAGGAGGAGGAGAAGGAGGAGGAGGAAAAGGAGCAGGATGAAGACCAGTACGAGGAGGAGGAGGAAAAAGAGGGGAGTGGGAGGAGCAGAGAGAGAGGGAGAGAGGACGATGATGAGCAGGAGCGGGATGCTGCTGTTGATGATGATGCTGATGATGCTGATGCTGATGATGATGACGATGCTGATGCTGATGCTGATGCTGCTGATGCTGATGCTGATGATGCTGGTGATGGTGACAGTAATGATTATGCTGCTGATGGTGGTGATGATGATGAAGCTGATGATGATGGTGGTGTTGTTGATAGTGGCGGTGTTGGTGATGGTGGTTAAGGTGCTGGTGGTGGGGATTAGGATCGTGATGATGGGGATGATGATGGCGGTGCTGATTCTGGTGATAACGTTTAGGATGATGGTGACATTCCAAAAGAGGATGATGATGACACTGATGTTGATGATGATGATGATGCTGATACTGATGGCGATGACGATGTTGACGGTAATGCTGATGGTTGTGATGATGCTGATGGTGGTGGTGGTGGTGTTGATGATGTTGAGGACGATGTTGATGATGCTGATATCGATGATGGTGGTGATGCTGCTGTTGATGTTGATGCTGCTGTTGATGCTGATGCTGATGCTGATACTGCAACTGCTGATGATCATGGTGATAGCCATGCTACATGTTATGATGATACCGTTAATGATGCTACCGATGCTGATTCTGATGATGCTGCTGATGATGATGATGCGACTGTGATGACGATGCTGATGATGATGCCTATACTGATGACGACGATACAGATGATGCTGATGCTGATGCTGCTGATGCTGCTGATGATGATGCTGCTGCTGATGCTGATGCTGCTGCTGGGGATGACGATGGTTATGATGCTGATGCTGATGCTGATGCTAATACTGATGACGATGATGATGGTGGTGATGATGCTGATGATATTCATGGCTTCTGATGATGCTGGCACAGTTGCTGCTGCATCTACTGCTGCTGCTAATGTCATGATGATTATGATGATGCTGATGGTGAGGATGATGAGGATGAATGGTGATCATTTTGATGAGGACGATGCTGATTCTGATGCGGATGTCCATTCAGGTGGTGGTGCTGATGACGATGAAGACGATGCTGCTGATGATGATGACGATGATGGTGATGATGATGATGATGGTGATGCTGATATTGATGATGATGATGATGCTCATGCTGATGCTGATGATGATGATGATGCTTATGCTGATGATGATGATGCTGATGATGATGATGATGATGAGTATGATGCTGCTGATGATGCTGCTGATGCTCATGCTGCTGATGACGGTCATGATGCTGATGCTGATGCCGATGCTGCAACTGATGATGACGATGCTGCTGATGTTGTTGTTGCTGATGCTGTTGTTGATGATGATCACGATGACGATTCTGATGAGGATGGCGATGAGGATTTGGGTGCTTTTGGTGTTGGTGGTATTGGTTACGATGAGGGTGTTGATGCTGGTGATGATGATGATGATGATGGTGGTTTTGTTGTTGATTGTGATGATGATGAGACTAAATGATTCTGATTCTGATGATGCGCATGATGACGTTTATGATGGTGATGGTGATGACAACGACGACGACGATGATGATAATGATGATGATCATGATGATCATGATGATGATGATGATGATGCTGATGATGATGATGATGATGCTGATGTTGATGCTGATGATGATGCTGCTGATGATGATGATGATGCTGATGACCATGCTGATCATGAGGATGATGATGATGATGATGCTGATGATGATGCTGATGATGATGATGATGATGCTGATGCTGATGATGATGATGATGATGCTGATGATGATGATGATGATGATTATGATGATGATGAGGATGATGAGGATGATGAGGATGATGAGGATGATGAGGATGATGATGATGATGATGATGATGATGGTGGTTACGATGAGGGTGTTGATGCTGGTGATGATGATGATGATGGTGGTTTTGTTGTTGATTGTGATGATGATGAGAATGAATGATTCTGATTATGATGATGCGCATGATGACGTTTATGATGGTGATGGTGATGACAACGACGACGACGATGATGATAATGATGATGATCATGATGATCATGATGATGATGATGATGATGATGATGATGATGATGATGCTGATGATGATGATGATGCTGATGTTGATGCTGATGATGATGCTGCTGATGATGATGATGATGCTGATGACCATGCTGATCATGAGGATGATGATGATGATGATGATGATGATGATGATGATGCTGATGCTGATGATGATGATGATGATGATGCTGATGATGATGATGATGATGATGATGATTATGATGATGATGATGATGAGGATGATGAGGATGATGAGGATGATGAGGATGATGAGGATGATGATGATGATGATGATTATGATGATGATGATGATGATGATGATGATGATGATGATGATGATATGATGATGATGATGATTAGGATATTGATGATGATTGATGTAATGATATGATGATGCTGATGATGCGGCTGCTGATGATGCTGATGATGCTGATGATGATGATGATGATGATGATGATGATGATGATGATGATGATGATGCTGATGGGCTGATGCTGATGCTGATGATGATGATGCTGATGATGATGATGATGATTTATGATGATGATGATGATGATGATTAGGATGATGATAGAGGAGGAGGGGAGGAGGGGAGGAGAGAGGAGGAGGAGGAGGGATGCGGGAGGAGGAGGAGGAGGACGAGAGGAGGAGGAGGAGGCATGAGGAGGAGGAGGAGGAGGGAAGCGGGGGAGGGGGAGGGGAGGAGGAGGAGGAGGTGGAGGAGGAGAGGAGAGAGGAGGAGGAAGGAGGAGGAGGAGGAGGAGGAGGGAGGAGGAGGATGAGGAGGAGGAGAAGGAACGAGGAGGAACAGGAGGAAGAGGAGGAGGCGGAGGATAGTCGGAGGAGGAGGGGGAGGAGGAGGGGCAGGAGGGAAGGAGGAGGAGAGGGAGGGGAGGCGGAGGATGAGGCGGAGGAGGGGGGGGAGGAGGCGGTGGAGGAGGAGGAGGTAGGGAGGAGGAGGAGGGAGGAGGAGGAGGAGGAGGAGGATGAGGAGGAGGAGGAGGAGGAGGAAGAGGAGGAGGAGGAGAAGGAGGAAGAGGAGGAGGAGGAGGAGGAGGAGGATGGTTTCGCGAGCGGCCAGTTGCGACGGTGGCTGAGGGCCGAGGCTGGGCTTGGGCATCGCAGCGAGCGTGCGCCGCGGCCCTTCCCGCAGGACTGGCTCCACGCCGTGAGCGCCGCGGCGGGGGCCTCGGACCACGCTGCTCCTCCTCTTCCTCCACCTCCTCCTCTTCCTCCTCCTCCTCCTCCTCCTCCGCCTCCTCCTCCTCCTAGCTCCTCGTTCCTCATTCCTCCTCCTCCTCCTCCTCCTCCTCCTCCCTCCTCAACCTCGCTCTTCCTCGTCCCCGCTTCTCCTCGCTCCTCCACTGCTCTCCAGCTTTCCTCCTCGCTCCTCCCTCTCCTGCGGCGCCGGCCTGTGGCCGCCCCGCGGCGCCCCCACCCCGCCCTCCCTCCGCGGTTTCCTCCGCCCCGCTGCGCAGCCCTCGTTGTGCCGACGAGGATCGAGGACGGGGTCTTTTTGGCGTTCTTGGCTCGAGTGTTGAGGAGGAGGAGGAGGAGGAGGAGGAGGAGGAGGAGGAGGAGGAGGATAAGGAGGAGGGGGAGGCGGAGGAGGAGGAGGAGGAGGAGGAGGAGGAGGAGGAGGGCGCGGAGGGCCAAAGTACTCCCAGGATGCATCAAGGATTCGGCAAAGCATCCGCCCGTCCCAAGTCCCCTTGTGATCCCCTGACCTTTCCGTTTCACCGCAGAAGTGCCCCCTTGAAAGACGATCCAGGCGAGAGTACCGTTTTGGAAAGTAGGTGTGCTGTATATTTCTAGCGAGATAGAGGGATGGTGGACAGGTCTGATCATACAATTGAATGTGGTGTCCAGCGAGAGTCCCGTTTTGAAAAGGAGCCGCGCCCCAAACCCGTGTAATTGTTGCACAAAGTTGCATGGTTGGTTAAAGTGAGAGCCCCATATTGAAAAGGAGCAGTTACTAGTGGTTGTTCTTTCGCGCATCCCCGCAAGCCCGTCAAACGCCATCGCCTGGCGAGTTGGCCTGATCAGGGATGCGCAGCAGCATCCAGTCACACTCTGAGCCTGTCAGAGGCATCTTGAGGCCATCGTCGAGCCCTGCTGGGGCCCTCTTGGGGCCATTTTGGATGCCTTTGGAGCCCTCTCGGGACCGTCTTGGGGCGGTGTCGGGGCTATGTCGGAGCCTTCCTGGCGTCCTCGAGGACACCTTTGGGGCCATCGTGGAGGCCATCGAGCAAAGTGAGAGGTTGTGGAGGCCGCGAATTCAGTATCCTGCGGGGTCTGCGGAAAGCCGCCCATAAGAGATTCCGATATGGCGGCTACATGGGTGCCTTCATAGTCTGCAAGGATGACCGCCCACCCGCCCTGGAGAGCTCTTGGGAAACCTAGCGGGAGCACGATTCATCCACACACATAGGATTTGCCAATACCGTGGACTGGGACCTGGGATCCTGATGCCAAGTGCTTTCCATCCCATTAGGTTGTCCATCCACAACAGATGCAGGCCTAGGGTAATAGTCATCTGGGTGCCCATACAACCCTCGAGTGCACACTAGACACTCGACAGGATCATATTCTAGGCTGATGGCAGTTGGCGGAATAAGCTTATGGTGTTTCCCAAGAGCTTCACGACACTCGGCCTTACGTGCAGGACAATGCCAGTCGGTGCAACATCGTGTCGTCAGCTGCTTTGCATAAGGGGTATCACACCTCGGGCAAGTCGTACCCAGCCGCACGCGCACGCGTCCGCGCCCATACGGCATTACAAGACACCGCTCTCATGTACCCTTTTGCAACACGGCTCTCACCTGATCATGGCACAGCCGGCCTCGTTGTGGTAGGTGTGGCAAACAGTTTGGCCGTTGATCGGCACTCATGAACATGCTGAGCAGCTTGTCTAAGGCGTCGCTTGAGCAGCGCAGGCGAGGTCAATTTGAGCGGATGATGATGATAATAATGATGAGGATGATGATGATGCTGATGCTGCTGATGATGATGATGATGACGATGACGATGGTGATTACGATTATGACGATGATGCTGATGATGATGGTGGTGATACTGATGATGCTGTTGATTATGATGATGATGAGGGCACAGACGGCGCTGATGATTGATATGTTGACGGATCGATGGATGGATGAAGGAGAACGGTTTGATGGTGAGGAGCCGGATGATGATGAGGGCGAGGATGGATAGATGGTGAGGAGGAGGATGGCTGGATTGTTTGATGGATGTTGTATGGATTGATGACTGGATGGATGGACGGATGGATGGATTAATTGATGGATGCTGATGATGCGAATGATGATGATGTTGATGATTATGGTGATGATCATGAAGATGTTGATGACGATGCTGACGATGACGATGACGACGATGCTGATTATGATGATGATGCAGGTTATTGTGACTGTGATGGTGATGCTGATGATGATATGATGATGACGATGAGGACACAGACGTCGATGATGATGTTGAAGGCGCTGATGATGGAGGTGCTGCTGCTGATGATGCCGATGACGATTCTTATGATGTAAATGTTGCCGGAGATAATGATGGTATGGTGATGATGGTGATGATGGCGATGATGACGATGACGATGACGATGACGATGACGCTGACGCCGATGCTGATGATGATGACGAAGGTGATTGTGATGGCGATGATGATGACGTCGATGAGGACACAGACGATGATGATGATGATGATGATGATGATGATGATGATGATGCTGACGACGATGGTAATGATGGAGGTGCTGCTGCTGACGTTGACGATGCTGCCGATGGTTATGATGTAAATGTTGCTGGAGACGGTGACTGTATGATCATGATGGTAATGATGGCGATTCTGCTGATGATGATGATGATGGTCCTGATGATGAGGTCGGCAAATACGACGGCGACGATCGGGACGACGACGACGGTGACGATGACGATGACCATGATGATGACGATGACGATGACGATGATTGCGAAGCTGCTGATGATGATGCTGCTGATGATGATAATGCTGATCATGATGACGATGCTGATGCTGATGATGATGGTCATTATGCTGATGACTCTGATGATGCTGCTGCTGCCGCAAACGACGACGACGCCGACGACGATGATGACGCTGCTGCTGATGCTGATGATGATGATGAGGGTGGTGATGCTCATTATGATGATGATGCTGCTGCTGCCGACGACGACGACCATGATGGTGATGATGACGACCATGGTGATGATGCTGCTGATGATGATGACGATGGTGCTTGCCATCATGCAGATATCGACAGATATCGACGATGCCGATGCTGATGATGATGGTGATGCTGATTATGATGATGATGATGGTGATTGTGAAGACGATGCTGATGCTGATGATGATGTTGGTGATGCTGATGATGATGATGCTGATGCTCATGATGATGAGGTTGATGATGCTGATGATGATGATGATGATGATGATGATGATTGTGGTTGTGGTGCTGATGACGATGGTGATGGTGTTTGTGGTAATGTTGACGCTGCTGATGATGCTGAGGATGACGATGACGATGCTGCTGGTGCTGCTGATGCTGCTGATGATGCTGACGATGACGATGCCTATGACGATGACGATGACGATGATGATGGCGATGATGATGACGATGATGATGACGATGCTCATGCTGCTGCTGATGATGGTGGTGATGACGGTGATCATGACGATGGCGATGACGATGATGCTGATGCTGATGCTGATGCTGATGATGTTGGTGCTTTTGATGATGATGCTGATGATGCTTATGATTATGATTATGATGATATTGATGATGCTGATGCTACTGCTGATGACGATGATGCTGATGCTGATGTTGATGAGAACGATGCTGCTGCTGATGATGATGCCGATACTGATGATGATGATGATGATGATGATGCTGATGATGATGATGCTGCTGCTGCTGCTGATGATGATGATGATGATGATGATGATGATGATGATGCTGATGACCTGGACCGCCGAAACACCCTTCGGAAAGGCAACTCGCCCCAAGATCGGGTGAGGAGGGGGGACGCGAACCTTTTCAGCGGCATCCAGGACCTGGGCGGACACAACAAGTTTGCGACAACATTTGTTGAGCCAGCGGCCCTGGACCTTCTCCCACGAATGCTGGCTCCGACTGATCGCAATCTGGAGACGAGTCTGGGTCGGCGGACGGGTGCGCTCGAGACGATCTGAATTCCAAGGATCTTTGGAAATCGTGTCCGTGAGTGCCCGACTCGCCCGACGCCTCACAAGGGCAGCGATCGGCACACGTTGCCCACGGCAATATACTGCAGACCCTCACGCTCGACACGCTCAACATCATCATCGAGGTGGCTCGGGATCCAGACAATTGCAACGTCAGCTGGGACCGATCCTCGAGCTGACAGGGCGGCTCTCACACGCACCCACAAATCACCGTTGCTGCCGATGCGCGAAGCGAAGCGCCTGGCGTTCCAACCGTCAAGCGTCGAGCGACAATCGATATGGAAGCGAATTTTTCTCGTCGACCGCTCGAGGCACAGGGCAAGGGGACAAGGGCGAGCAACTCCGCCCTGGGTACAGTCTGCCTGGGCCCCCGCAGGCCGCCGACGATGATGGCGGCTGGCGTCCACGATCCCCCGTCTGGCCGTAGAGCAACCGCAGCAGCTCCGACTCGGCGCTGGCGAGGGTCATCCGTATGTGGTCCGCCAGACCCATCGCTGGAGACATGCAGCACCTGGTCGCGCTCGGTACTGCACTCGTCGAGCGGCTTCCCGGAGGGCCTCGACCCAGTCGGCCCGACACTCGTCAAAAATCGGCGTCGTCAGCTCGGAATGGCACACACCTCGAAGCTACAGCGCAGGATCTTGCTCCCATCCAGTATGAGCACGACCAGCCAGCCATTCGCCTGCATCAAAGTCTGCATGGCCCGTATTGCGAGGGCAAGTCCAAATTCTGTGAAACTACGTCTTCTGTTCTGACTGATACCGCTGGCACACCACCTCCGAATCGCATCCCGCCTGCTGCTGACGTTCGCGGGTCCACTGGCTACCGCTGACCACGACGACGGTCTGCGCCCACAGGTCGAGGTCACCCTTGGCCATGTGCCTCTGGAGCTCCCGCTGTACGTGCATCGTGTCGCCAGCAGGGTGCAGAGCAGCACGCTGCCACATGCGACGACGGAAGTCGCCGGCCTCGAGCAACTCGGGGGCGTCGGCGACAGCAAACCCATCGTCATCGGGCCCAGGGATGAGCCACTCGTCGACTGAGTCGGGCCCCGTGGGTCGCACCCACCGCTGAGGCGACTCAGGGCGCCAGTCGGTGTCCAGCAGCAAGGCGATGATGGCGGCAGCTGGCCCGCGGGCGCGACGCCACCGACGGGGCGCCGCCCGAGTGGGGGCGGCCAGCAGTCGGGGCCACGCGCGTCGGACGCGCGCGCGGACGTCGGGTCGGGTCCGCCACAGCTCCAGTCACTGGCTGACCACCTGCCGCCTGAGCTCCAGCCCTGGGTCGCGTGGCCCGTAGGCTTAAGTCGGGCCTGTCCCCCTACAGGGGGATTTTGGGCGATAAATGCAAGGCACGCAAAAAATACCCCCACATAGTCAAGCAATACACAAACACTAGTCCCCCGACTACTTGTTGATATTTTTTTAGTTTTCCTCCTGTAGAGGGACAGGCCCGACTTAACCGTAGAGGGCGGCCAGCGTCGTCGTCAGGCGGCGGCCGGGGCCCTTGCCGACGGCAGCCGCCGCAGCGGCGCGGCGCAGCTCCAGCAGACGACGGCGCCAAGCCAGCAGCCTGGTGGCCGCAGGTCGCCTGTGGCTGCGCGCCAGTCGTCCAGAGCATCTTGGTGATCGTCGCCATGCGGACCTCAGTATCGTTTAACCGATCCCCATCTCCATGTCTTTCCCCTTCGAGACCCCCACCAAAGTGACACCCCAGTTGGGGATACACCCTTCGAAACCCGAAGGGAACGGCCTATATCCCCATCTAGGGGGATAAATCGGCCAGTGGGGCCCAGGCCACGCCGCTGGGGATGAGGATCGGTGAAACGATGTTCACTCCTCCCGCGTCCGCAGGATCCTGGCGAGGCGCCCTCCAGCAGCCTGGAAGCGCCCCTTGGCACGCCGCTTGCACCGCCGCCGCCCACACGCCGTGTCCACGCCCAGGTCGACCGCCTGCAGGGCGAACGGTGTCGGAACACCCAGCCGTCCAAGCCCAGCGGCCAGCGACCGCCCTAAGGCCCTGATGCGAGGTCGGAACACACCAGGACCGACTTGCTGGACGCGACGAGGCCAGCCTGGTCGAGGCCCTCCTTGAGAGCGACCGCTGACTTGTAGATGTCGGACTTGACCATCTGTCGGGTCCCAACGGCCCTGAGCACAGTGTCGTCGACGAACATTCACAGCTGGGCTCGATCACAGGCGCAATGCGCCCGAGCGATTACGGGCCCGAGGAGCACCTTGGCCAGCTTGCCACCGTGGCAGGACCCCGCCACGACGGACCGTTCGGCTTGAAGCCGACGTCCGAGCCAGGCGCGTTGACGGAGGTGGCGGGGACCTGCGAACAGCTGCACCTCCATCTCCGCGATGATGGCGAGGAAACCCTGCTTCGTGGCTACGTGGCTGCGGCCCGCACGCGGACGAAGGAGACCGAGTCGTAAAGCTTGTCGATGTCGAGGAGGAGGGTGGCCGTGGTCCAGCCGTTCTCGACGTCGCATTCGTCCATGCATGAATGGCATACAGCAGCGCGAAGAGCTGACGACTCTCGGATGGCCGTGTCCCACCACTCGGCCTGCGAGTCGCTCCAGTCGTCCGTCGCCGCTGCTCGGATCTACGACCACAGCTTGCAAGTCGTGGGGAGCATACCCAGCAGCAGCAGGAGCAGCAGCAGCAGCAGCAGCAGCAGCAGCAGCAACAGCAGCAGCAGCGGCGGCGGCGGCGGTGGCGGTGGCGGCGGCGGCAGCGGCAGCAGCAGCGGCAGCGGCAGCGGCATCGTAAGTTGTACATTGGAGACAAGAAACACCCTGCTTGCCTCCAGGGTGCCCTGGGTTTCTTGGATTTCGAGGGTTCTGCCACAGAAAGCGTGACGCTCCCACACCAAAAATCCATGGACGTCCTGGGGTCTCAGGATTGGGTTTCTTGTGGAAGGTTTCTTGTGGACTGCCTCCACTGTGTTTTTTTCTTTATTTTGTCAGACGGGGCGTGCAGCAGCAACAGCAGTCTTGTCTTTCGCAGCAGCCGCAGCAGCGGCAGCGGGAGCGCGCGAGGCGAAGCAGGAGGCCCTCGGCGGCGCCGCGCGGAGCAGCCTCCCGGCAGAGCTGGTGCGGGAGCTGCAGGCGCCCCCCCTCGCGGACGCGGCCGCTGCAGCCACTCGTTGTCGTCGACGTCGTCATCTTCGTCGTCGTCGTGCTCCCACTGTCTTCTACTGCTGCTGCTTCCGCTGCTGCTCGTCCTCCTCCGTACATTATCAGCAGGACTCGCGAATTCTGAACCCCAGATCTGACGGTGCAAGTGCTTCGAGCCGGGCCCCGTCAGCAGGCCAGGCCATCGCCCTCGGTCGCGGAGCTGATGTCCCATTAGCGGCCACCCAGGCGGGATAACCCTCTGCCATCCTCTTTGGCCGCGCGTAGCTCCTCCTCGTCCTGCTCCAGCCCCGCGGGTCCCGAGTCCGCGGTTGTCCCCCAGGAAAGCGAGCGACGCGCCGCGCGCGCCCGCCGGCGCCCGCCCGCGCGCCGCTGCTGCGCGCCAGCGTCGTTGGCCGCTGGCCGAGTGAAGGAGTATGCTGCTACCCCCCCCTTCGGTTATCATCCTTCACAGAGCCTTAGTGGAAGGGGTGGGGACTCGGGTTTCGAATGGCCCAGGGAAGCGTTCCCTCATCTTCTCCTCCCTTGACTTGGGTCGCCTCCTGGAGAGGCGCTCAGGTGGTCTGACAGGCCCCTTGGTGAGTTTTGCTGGCAGCTTGGGCGTGGACGGCTGCGCTGGCAAGGCGCGTCGGAGGAAGGATCGGCCTTCAAAGACTAAAGCTCGTGAGCAGATGTCCAGGGCATTCGTTTTGAGATGGGCCAGGGTCCGAACAACGGTCGCGGGTGGTGTGGCCCGCAAGGTTTTCGCGTCTGGAGCTATGGCCTCGAATCTTTTCGGAGCGGACATTCACGGTGTCACGGACCGCGGGCTGCTCATGTTTCGGAGGCAGGCTGCGGCTGTGCTTAAGCCGTCCGCTCGAGGTCGAAGCCTCACTTGTCTTCTTCTGTCTCACAGTAGTCGCCGTGCTGGCTTGCTGCTGTCGCCCCCATCGTGAGGCGGGCCAGGGAAGTGTGGATCCCTCCGCTCAATCTTTACCCTCACCCTAACCCTCTCACCTAGCTGGGAGTAGCGTGGGCTGGTAGTTTCGAAGGTGAATCCCCGTTGTGGCGAACTGTAGCTGGCCGGTTATGGCCCTCCGTAAGAGTTGTGAGATGATCTCTTGGTATACGCCCTCGTTTGTCGAGTTTTTTTCCGCTCAGGGCCAGGTGGAGTTGTTAAGTCAAGATGCTGTTGAACAACACCGTCCTTAGGAGCCTGGAGTGGGATCTTGGGGCCCGTTTCAACATGTCCTCTTGGGCTTGTGTTGATGGCATTTTGTATTCCTTGAGGGTCGAACCCGTTTTTCTCGTTCCAGCACGGGTGCATTCGGGTCTTCTTTTGTGATGCCATTTACACTCGGGTTTGTGCTGTCAGCCTAGGCTACGCCACCTCGGAGCTTTGCGACCTCTGCAGGGAGGCCCTTTGTGCGTAGACTTGTTGCGTAGATTTGCTGCTGCTGCCGACGACGCGCTGGCGTTTTTTTAAATTGATTTTCACGCATCGTTGAGGCCAGTTCCCAGCGCCAGCTAGCTCTGGAGGTACGGGTTGAATGGTCTCGGGGTGCAGAAGGAGATCTGGCCACGGATATGACACGTGGTAGTTTCGGAAAACCGCTTGGTACGCGGAGGATCGTTCTCGAACTCAATCGTGTTGGGTGGGCGTTAATTGTTTTTGATAGTATTGCAAGTCTCGGGGTTGTCCGTGTCCGTGGCCCTGTGTGGGCCCCAGCGCCTCAAATTCCACAGACGGCTCATAGTTGCCCTTCAGCACTGTTGTCCACATTGTTCCTGGACTGTCAACGCTGTCTTGCCTTCGATGTGTTGCCTTTCCAAACCCAGTGTTCACCGAAGCGTGCCTACGCGGCCGTGGCCAATTTCTGTAGAGCTTTCTCTCACCAGTGTTTGCGTCGAAAGTGGCAGCCCACCAGTCCGAGGTCGACGGCGAAGATGCTTCTGAGCGCTACCTGCGTGGCACTACTAGTTTTGCCGATCGGTTGGCGAAGCTTTCAGTCGAGCTGCATCATGAGTTTGATTGGGACGCCTCCGAGCAAGCCGGTTTACACTGTAGAGTTCCCTTGGCTGTGGCCCAGCTTGCTGCCCACCTTTTGCCTCAGTGGCCAACGCTTGACATGGGTCCTGATGTCGAGCGGGTTAAGCCCCCTCCTCGAGTTGATGTGAATCGCCTTGCAAGGCCTGGCCACTCCTGGTCCTGGACGGGTCGTTTCTGGCAGTGATCTCGCTGTTTCCGAGGGGCTCGGTCGGTGGACAACCTTGCCGTGGGAGTTTGCCGTGTTGGATTCGGCGTCGGGATTCGAGGAGGCTATGACGTTGCTAGGCTTTTGGCTTTGGGGCGCACGATGCTTTGGCTCGAGGCGTCCGATGGCCGTTTCGGTTTTGTTTGCACCAGTTGCAAGTGTTGCACTTGTGGTGGACAATTCTGTAGATTGCGCAAGGGTTGTGCACCGCTCTCTCTCGCTTCAGAACGCTGAGGAGACATCACGCCTGGAAGCGTAACTACCAAGGTCGCCACCCAAAGGTTGTCGGTGTCACGGTGGACGTCGGCCCTTGCGCTTTTCCAGAGGAGGAGGGAGGAGGAAGAGGAGGAGGACGAGGAGGAGGAGCCCTCATTAACTCCCGATCCGCTTCTTCCCCCTTCGGAGGTGGATTCGGAGGATGCCCGCAGGTTGCGCGTCGTGGCGACGCCTTTCCGCCTTCTGGGCGCAGCCTCGGGCTCCCAAGCGAGTGCCGCAGTTCCCGACGACGAGTCGGGTTCTGACCAATCGCTCTCGTTTTCCCTTGCGGGTCCCGCCCTCCTGCCTGGGTGTGCGTGGGCTGTGGTGCGCCGCTGGTGGGGGTGGCGGGAGGAGGGAGGGGGGAGGAGGGAGGAGGGAGGGAGGGAGGGAGGGAGGGAGGGAGGGAGGGAGGGAGGGAGGGAGGAGGAGGAGGAGGAGGAGGAGGCGCACCACAGCCCACGCACTGGCGGGGGCGGCGTGCCCGCCCAGCTCGCCTCCTCCTTCCTTCCCCTGCGCAGGGGCGGTGGCAGAGCAGTCTCCGCGTGCCCGTGTTGGTCGTCGCGAGTCGGCCGCTAGCCCAGAGGCTGCGTCGGACGGGACGCCACATCGTGGCGATCCACACTCCGCTTCCGCCCCCTTTCCTCCTCCCTCTCTCCCTCCCTACTCCTCCTGCTCCATCAGTGTTCCGTGCGGGTTGGGTTGACAGTTTTGGCCCAGTGCAGGGGGTTGGGTCAGCATGACGGGTGTGCATGCCGAAACGGGCGCGGGCGGCATTGTGCTGCAAGCGTCACAGCAGCAGCGGCGGGACGGGGGGGGAGAGGACAACGACTGCTCCAGAGGCGGGCGCGCGGCGGTGCTGATTAATGATAAGGGCCCAACGACACATGAGGTTCGGGTAACATGAGGGGAACCCGGCGGAGAGGAGGAGGGGGGGTGATGATGGTGGTGGGGGTGACGATGCTGATGCTGATGATGATGATGATGCTGATGCTGATGATGATGTTTATTATAATGCTGATGCCGATGCTGATGCTGTTGTTGATGCTGGTGATGATGCTGATGATGATGAGGATGCTGATGATGATGATGATGATGATGATGCTGATGATGCTGATGATGATGATGATGATGATGATGATGATGATGATGATGATGACATGCCGATGTCGATGATGCTGACGATGACGATGACGACGGCGACGACGACGATGGCGATACTGAGGATTATGACGACGATGATGACGATGATGGTGATGATGATGACGATGCTGATGCTGATGCGGATGACGGTACTGATGATGATGTTGATGTTGCTGATGATGGTGATGTCGATGATGACGGTGGTGGTGATGCTGATGAATTTGGTGATGTTGATGCTGCTGCTGATGATGATGAGGATGATGATGAGGATGCTGATGCTGATGCTGATGATGATGCTGATGACGATGCTGGCAGTACAGGTAATGATGGTGATGCTGATTCTGATTATGATTATGCTGATGCTGATGATGCTTATGTGCAGGCGGCGGCGGAGGAGGATGAGGAGGGGTGAGTGCCCAGGAGATACCACTGCTGTCAGTGTTTATTTTGCAGGAGGATGGCGACGATGCTGTTGATGCTGTTGATGATGACGATGATGATGCTGATGTTGTTGATGATGATGATGATGATGCTGATGATGATGATGATGATGATGATGATGATTATGCTGAGGATGAGGAGGAGGAGGACGAGGCGGCGGAGTAGCAGGATGAGGGGGCGGAGGAGGATGGGGAAGAGGATGAGGGGGGGGGACCAGAATGGTCGAGGTTCGAGATTGTTTGTTGCTGCTTTCTGCTGTGGCCTCCAGTCGCCAGGACGAGAGGGGGGTGGAGCATGAAGAACAGGATGAGAGCGATGAGGGCGCGGATGCGGATGGTGTTGATGATGACGATGCTGTCGTCGATAACGATGATGGTGGTGGCGGTGGGGATGATGATGCTGATGGTGCGTGATGGTGATGGTGGTGGAGATGGTGGTTGTGGTGGTGGTTATTGTTGCGCTGGTGGTGGTGACGAAGATGCCGCTGGTGATGCAGATGACGATGGTACCGCTGCTGCTGTCGATGATCCTTTTCACGATTATATTGCGACAGTGGGTGAAGATGCTACTGACTATGCGGATGATGATAACGATGGTGGTAATGGTGATGTTGAGGATCGTGATGCTGATGCTGATGATTATGGTGACAGTGGTGGTTTTCATTCTGATAATCATGATGACACTGTGGATGATGCAGGTGATGCTGATAATGACGGTTCGTAGTAGCAACCGTAGGGGTCTTAGTAGCAGTGGCAGCAGCAGCAGCGGTAGACGTCGTAGTGGTAGTCGTGGCAGCTGTAGCAGCAGTAGTAGTAGTGGTCGTAGTAGTAGTAGTAGTAGTAGTAGTAGTAGTAGTAGTAGTAGTAGTAGTAGTAGTAGTAGTAGTAGTAGTAGTAGTAGTAG